AGAAACATTGGTAGGAGAGAGACACATCGATTGGTTGCCTCTTGCACACATCCTGACGGGGGCTGGAGATAGAGCCTGCACCAAGGTACAATGCCCTTGACCAGAATTGACCCCATGACCCTTCAGTCCATGGGCCTATACTCTAACCACTGAGCAAAACTGGCTAGGGCTATTTTCTTATTTCTAGTTTTGGCCTTTTCTTTTCAATTTAAAGAGGCTCTTTAACATTTTTTGCAATGCCAGTTTTGTGGTGATGAATTTTAGATATTGTCTGGGATACTTTTTCTCGCTCCTTCAATTCTGAATGATTATCTTACTGGGTAGAGTCTTCTTGGTGGTAAACTTTCATCAGTTTGAATAGACTGTACCATTCCCTCCTGGCTTGCAAAATTTCTGCTGAAAAATCAGTTTATAGTCTTATGGGGAAAAATCTATGTATGTCACTATTTTTCTCTTGCTGCATTTAAGATTTTCTGTTTATCTTTAACTTTTGGCATTATTATGTGTCTTGGTGTGGGACTTATCTTTTTGGGGAGTCTGTGCTTCCTGGACTTGGATGTCTATTTCCTTCACTTGTTAGGAAAGTTTTTAGAGATTTTCTTCAAATATGTTTACTGTCTTTTTCTCTCTCTCTCTTCTCCTTCTGGGACCCTGATGTTAGTATGCTTGATGTTGTCCCAGAGGTCCCTTAAATTATCTTCATTTGCTTTGATTCTTTTCCTTTTGCTCTTCCAGTGGGGTGACTTCCACCACCTTGTCTTCCAGCTTGCTGACTCATTCTTCTACGTGATCTAATTGGCTATTTATTGCCTCTAATGTATTTTCATTTTAATTATTGTATTTTTATTTTAATTATTGTATTTTTCAGTTTTGACAGGTTCTTTATATTTTCTATCTCTTTGTCATTGAGTTTATCTTTCACGAGTTCATTGAGCATCTTCATAACCATTGTTTTGAACTCTTTATCTGGTAGATTGCTTATTTCTTTTTCTGGAGTTTTGTTCTGTTCTTTTGTTTGCAGCACATTTGTCTCTTCGTTTTGGCTATCTCTCTGCGTCTTTCTATGAATTAAGTGAAACAGCAACCTGTGCTGGCAGGGTGGCCAGGGCTGTAGTTATATCAGGCTTGGGCCAAAGGGAATCCCAGGAATAGCCCTGGCTGAGGCAGGAGCTATAGCTGACGTAAGCATGGGCTGTGGAAAGTCCTAGGTGCAAGGCACCCTGGGACCCAGTTTTACCTGGAGCATGTGTGAGCCCTGGTGAGTCCCAAGGGCAAGCTGTGCTGGGAAAGCCCTGGCAGGCCCGTTGGAGTTGAAACTGGAGTGAGCTCAGACCATGGAAGTCCCGGAGGCAAGCTGTGCTAAACCCTGGTGCTGTAGCTGAAGCGGGAGTGGTCTGTAAGGCGTCCCTGGAACTCGCTGCACTGGGTGGGAGCTGTGCTAGGGTGGGCGTGTGGGGAGTTCAGAGGTAAGGGCACTGGAGCCACCTTGGTGGCCTGGATGAAAGCTGTAGCTGGAGCAGGCGAAGGAGAGACCCAAGGGTAAGCTGTACCACAGCCCAGCACTGTGGCTGGAGAGGCTATGGGGGATCCCGGGGGTGAGCCTCAGGTGTGCTGGGATGGTGAGGGCACGTGGATAGCGCTGCTGCCTGTGTGGCCAAAGGGGGGAAGGGAAGCACAACACGCAGTGCCCTCACCTGACACTGGGGAGTTCCTGCAGCTCCCCTCCTGTGTGGCGCATGCTCTAGGGTTAGTAAATGGATTTATTTCTGGAATCGCTCCGCTTTAGACCAGTCTTTTCATGGTGCCCCAGGACGGGCGAGTCTGTGTGTGGGCCCCTCAGGGCTACCTCCCTGCTGCATGTTGGTGCACTGGGGGTGGGGTGTTATCTCTCCGTTCCTGAGGTCCCTCTTACTTGCTTTGTAGAAGTTGTTGTTAGCCCTCAGTTCAAGATCTCTTTAAACGTTAAAATGTCACTCTAAATGAGCCTCACGATGGAACGTATTACATTACAGGGTTGCTAGAATTAAAATTCGTCCACAACGAAACTGTATAGACAGGAAGGCTCTAATAAGAACACCTCAAAATGACTGTGTATTTAAATGCCTAGCATTCACATAACCGCTGTCCTGTATTGCACACACACTAAGGACCTGCCTGTTGAAAGGGTTTACTTACCCGTTCTTAGCACACTAGGTGATAGGCAGTTGCTCCCTGCAGTTAGTGACCTACCCTCTACCTGTGGGGTATATGCAGTGGGATGCAGCCTCCACAGGCTGATGGTTGCACATAGGGAGGAATGCATTTTTAGAAAGTTAGTTTAAAAACCTTAAAACGATTAAAGTGTTGATTTAAAAAAGTCCTTTACGCCTTTATAAACACCTAATGAATATCATTAACTCTAAAACAGTATTTGAGGCACAAATATTAGTAAGTACATATGTTTAATGAGGTGCAACTCTAGGTATTTTGTTTTGAATACATTCAATAAGTTCACCATTATAGTTGCTTTTACAACTCTCACTTTCCAAACATGACTTGATTCATCAATATATACGAGTCCTTTCTCTTTAGACAAAGCCACTAGGTGGGGCAGGGAGTGGAGTGTAGGGGGATAAACTACTAACTCTAGGCCACACTGTAGCCTAAACGAACATTCCCTTAGCGTCTCAGCTCCGTCTCTCCCACCTAACACTGGCTTTGGATATCCTGAGTTCTCTGCCAACTGTAACTGAACATCAAATCAAACCTGCTCAGGAGCTGAAATAAATTACCTAAATCCATAAGATTCCCGGTAAACAGCTGAAGAGAAGTGGAAAAAAAAAAAGAGAAATACCTAACAATGGCAAAAAGCAATTTTAGGAAAAAAATAAGAAAAGCAAAAGTCTGCAAAACAATGAAGTGGGAAAAATCTGCTACTTGAAATAAAATAGTTTCCTATATACTGACACAGAGTTTGAATATGTGAGGCCATCAAGAGCAATAGACCATTTTGTAATTGTGACGATATTTGAAATAGAATATTTGCAATTCATAAAGGGAAACGAGCCTACTCAGGGCAGGCATTAGTAAGGCACTAAGCTTCACTCATGCAAGGGATGCAGAAAACTAGAAAGATCGATACAATAAAGACCCCCAGGTCACAGGAGGCAACACAGGAACCTCAAGGTGAAGAGAGAAACAGCTTCGGCTACTCACGGACAGATCTGAGCCTTTAATCCCGTTTCATAGGAACTAGCGTGGCTCTAACTCACTGATACTGAACATGGGCTTCTCTGCAGAGACTCATGTTAGTAATCACTGGCTGCCGGTGGGTGGGGCCAGGGAAGGGTGCCTTTATGCACACAGCACCTGTGCTGCTGCATGAGGTCCATTTCTTCACGAAACAAAAACAAACCACCATAAGAAAAATGAATTTTTTAATTATTTTTTCTCAGAGGCAGAATCACATAGCCGTTTTGATACGATTTCCAGTAGGTCTAAAATACTGCTTTTTGGAGTTGTAAAAATTCCATTACAGAAACACACAGAACAGACACAGGATAAACAGAAATCACATCAGTTGATCAAATGGTTGTTCTAAGGATGTTCTCTGCCTTATTTTCCTATAAGAAAAGTTTGAAGGATCCGATCGGAAACTGCTGTCCGCATACAACTAGGCTTTGGAAAAGGAAAGACCAAATCAGTCACCTGGCTCACTTGCAATGCTGTGTGCACATCTGCAGAAGTCTGCATGTTTGTGGGTGTTCTGTATCAGCTGGGAAATTTATAATTTTAAGGAAATCTAAAACATATTCTTTACAAAAACAAACCACTGCTCCAATGTCCTTTTCCCTTGAGACACAGGTGGCGTTAGGAACGGGTTCAAAAGCTTTCATGTACAACCATTTGTTATTCATCTGAGATATCTGGACGGAAAATCGGCAAATTGGGTCCATGGTTTAGAAAGTGAAACGTTACAAATGTTATAAACAATTAAAATATGCGCAGACATCTTCTTAACTGCTAATGGTCAAAACTTTACGCTGTTTTTAAATCTGAAAGACTCAGGACTTTGGGGAAAAGCCACTCCTAACATACAACAGTATTACTGTAATGGAAGTAAAAAGCAGGTTAATAGACGCAGTAAAGTAAAAATATGAAGTAACCAGTTACTGTTAAAAGCTTGAGTTGTGTTCCAATTTTATAAGAAAGTATGACTAAGTGGATTGCAATGTTCAAGACTGACGGAAATGATGTTGCTGATGTAACAATTTATAGAACACTGAATGAACATGCTCTGCAGGGTGTGCGCCCAACGAATTTAAAATTACACATGATCATGTCAAGAATAGCATTCACCAAGGGCTGTCCCAAGGCATCTTTAAAAAAATCTACACCAAAGGTTTGGACAGCGAAAGCAGCGATACACTCTGTTTCTTATAGAGACACCAATACAGTAAATGCATTCACTTTTTAGCTACCATTATACTAGTCACAATTTGTAACCTCACAGAATATAGTATATGAAATTACAATATATTTATCTTCTTTAAAACCATTTTTAAAGAAGGGCTTATCTATCCATTTTTAGAAGTCAAAAACCAGCAGAAAAATGTAACTGATAGATGCAGTCTTTAAAATATTTTGTGGTTAATTATATGCTAATTTTCAAAATACAACAGAATTTTTGGTCCATGAGGCCCTTAAGAAACAAAAGGTAGGTGAGGGAGTCCCATTTATCAATAGAAATATAAAGTTCATGAAAAAATTTCAATACTTATTAAAATATCTTTTTACAGAATGCTTTTTTTTGGTGGTTAAACATAAGAAATCTCACTAATAAATAATGGGTACGAGCTGATAGGACCCATAAATGAATTAAGATGCTTTAATATGACTGTGTCACATTCTTCTTTTGAAGGCCATTAATAAATGATTTTCTTTCTATGTCAACTGAAATACAATTATTTCTTAACATATATCAGGATTTAATGCTTAACATGTCTGTTTTCTCCCGGTAGGGCAGAGATCAGCAAACTGTGGCCCACAGGTCAAATCTGAATGACTGCGTGTTCCTGTAAATTAAGTTTTCTTTGCACACAGCCACACTGACTCACTTATATATTGTTTGTGGCTAATTTCATGCTGTAGGGGCAGAGGTAAGTAGTTTATAGAGACCATATCATTCATTCTCAAAGCCTGAATTATTTACTATCCAATCCTTGATAGAAAAAATTTGTCAATCTTTGTCTAGGGGGTTTCCCAGACTAATCTAAATTAATGCATGTTCCTCTACTTCCACACCCGTTCTCTATTCTAGTACATGTATGAAGTTCATGTACTTTATACTTAATTGTATTTGTTGGTATATACCTAGGAAGCCAACATCCTAGCCGGGCTCCCATATTTAATGTATTTCGAACATAAGCACTCCCTATGGCTATGACCTGTTTGACTTCCGGTCACTCTGGAATGCTTTGGGAGTTGGATAATAAAATGGGTGGGCCATACACTAACAGAATGGCCAGAAAACTGTGCATCTTATTTCATCATGAAGAAGGAAGTTGGATAGCAAAAAGAATAACCCAAATCAAATATACCTTAGGGCAAATGCCATTCAACCAGGAAACACAGCTCGATAGTTTTACACACACACACACACACACACACACACACACACACACACACACACACACAGCCACCCTCCCACCTACCACAAACTGACAGCTAAACATAAAGTATATTTGTTTTATAAATATATTACTGTCTATATACATATAGATACATCCATAAAAGGCATGTTAAATAATTATCTGTATAATCAATACTACTTTAAAGTTTTTCTTGCGTGTGTTTTAAAGTTACACACTCTATTAAAATTATCAAAATAAGTCTTTAAAAATACCAGAAATAAAGCCAGTGAAGAGTCACTTTCCATTCAAGTGTTTCCAAATCTCATCATTGGTCACCTGGACTCCAGACTTGGGCATGCACAGATCAAGGAAACACAGTTCAACTAAGGAAAAGTCAGCCATCAAAATTCTAACACCCTCCCATTGTTAATACTTCATAACAAGTATGTATATACATAAACATTCTTTTTAGTTATATTACATATGCTTATAAATGAATTCTCATGAAAACACAAAATTCTAGTTTCTACCAGCATCAAATATTTTATACTGGTTTGCATTTCTTTCCAATATTTAGGTCAATGACAAACTCTATAGGGATACAGAGGCCATAAAAGCAGCCTGAAAACTTACCTATCACATGCGAGAAAGGAGGAAATACGAAGGGCCAGTTCTTGGCCAGTTGGGGACTATTCCCTTTGTGCTAAGACACAGAAACAATGAACTGGCTAATTGCTGTGTAAAGTACAGTCAACTCTCAGAAAATTCCAACCGGAATCCTTTCTCCTGGCAGCTTCACTACTTACTAACCACCGCTCTTATTTATTAGCGAGTCTGGTAAAAGATAGGATTAAGGTAAAAGTTTTGGCTAAATTAAAGGTTTGGATTCAGCTATGGGTTTATTTTAATGGTGGATCCTTTTACATATTGCTTTAGATAATTAAGAATTGGATGTATCTAAAGTCTGCCAAATACCTGATTTTTAAGCTCTGGAAGCAACACTGGTGCTTCAATAAAAGGGGGAGGAGAGGGGCGGCAAATTGTCCTCTCGTCATAAGAAAATGGCTGTATCTTCACTTACAATTACACTGAAGGGTTTCAATGTGGGCAGCTAAGAGCTCTCCACTCAGGACAGGAGTGGCAAGCCCCCCATTCCCCACAGTCTAAAATCCATGAAGCAACGACAGATTGTTAGCTAAAAACATTTAGAAGGTACAATTAAAGGTGTGATATACATTTCACCTAAAATCTCACTTAAATAAATTTAGTAATGTTGGCCAGAATCTCCAAACAATTAAGATATTAAAGTTAAGAAAATGGAAGCAAAAACTACATGTACATTTTAAAAGTGATTTCACACTAAAAATAAGAAAAAGACTTGGAATATGAGTGAAATAAAAGGTACCATGCATTTGTAACCCTATTTTTGGCACTGGTTTCGCCTCTACATTTAAGCTTGTCCTACAGAGAGTGACCCACGAAACAAGGAGAACAGGTTCACAGGCGAGGGGGGCGCTCAGGCAGACACCCCCGGAATGGTGTGTGGCTTCCTCCGCATTCTTTCTAGTTACAGACGAGAGCCACACTTGCTTCAACAACAACAGCAACAACTGTGTAGAACACCACTTTCCTGAATTAAGTTTGCTGAACACGGTTCAGATTATTGGATATGTCAATATGCACAATGCCTTTTAGAAGCATTTACTGTATACCCAAACCCTACTTCATGCAACACACAGTGTCACACAAGTAGTGAAAATGTTATCCTAGTCAAAGGTGCTTGGACATTATTTTCAGGCAGCATTTTACCTTTATTTTAAGTTCACACTAGATGTTTTTAGGAGAAAGAAAATGCCAATAAATTTATTTAATATACTTTAATATATTATATAAAACTAGGACAGACACTTTTATTTACCTAAATTGTTACTTTAATTTTCTACCCTATTCTAGACCTCAATTTTACTTATAAAAATTTGTATTTAAATAAGGGATAAAATGTTGCCCAAAAGTCTAATCATGTTACACTTTTGTGTTTTAACTAGATCTACAAATCAAAAAGTTCTTATAGTTAAAAAGATACAATTTGTATCAACAGTAAAAGGTACTTTCTGGTTTTTCAGGGCTTTACTTCAAACTGTAGCATGTGGAGTAATCAGAATACCCAGGGCATTTCGGCAGACTGAGGAAACAGATCGGAACGAGTCATCACACTACGTAAAATTCAAAAACTGGAGGCAACAGGGAAGTCATGCCAATCACACAACTGTCTGCCACTGATCGCAGTATCTACCTTCTAACCGATGAAAATGAATTAGCATCTAGCAAAACCCATGACTTTGAAACCAGAAATATCCCTTACTAATACTAAAACAGACTTTAGTCTGTATCTAAAACTACACTATTTGTGGCAAGAATCTGGCCTTAATAATATAATAGGCCCCCCCCCCCCATAAAACAACCTTCAGGAAAATGGAAAATATACAGTATCTTACAAAAATGTTAAGTTACCATTTACAACTCCTCCATCACCATTTCCATAGTGCAGTATCAATAAGTGTTGCATATTCTCAACACATAAAACCACCTCAGGCCAGCCTTGATAAACAGCAGGAAAGCTAGAGAGTATATTAAATATAAAAGTTGCATTGAGAATAATTAGATTCATTAAAAACAGGCAAGTACTGCGAAAGGGTTACTTTATCCAGTTTTGTTGTGCCCCCAAACAAAAAGACAAACACATTAAAAATACAGGTCAATGGAAATCTAGGAATTCAATTCCATTTCTACTATCTAGAAGCACATCATAGCTGGATTGCAAAGCTCGAAACTGTAACAGTTACGGCTTTTGCCTTATTCATAAAATAAAAATGGAAACATTTTTTTCCCATTGATTGCATCTGCTTTCCTTCAAATCTGCCATATTAAATTAACTAATTACGTAACAGACAAAAAAATCTGAACAAAAATAAAACAATAAAAAGTGCCATATTGTAAGTCATTCTAGTATATACTGTTACCCATTTCAACATAAACTGGTAACTTACATTTGTTTAAAATATAGTCAGTGCTGTAGTATATCTTTGTTTCTATAAATAATGATTATAGCACAAAGAAGCCCACTTTCCCCAAATAAAAATAACTTAAAAAGCTGTAAAAGACTCAATTAAGCTTGGCTTGAAAAAATAGTTTGCTAGGTCTAGTCAAATGTTCAACATTCTGAAGGTATTGTAATTGCTTGCAATTGATAGAGAAACACCAAGTTAATAAAACATGAAATAAGGATAAAAAGTGCTGCATATAAACCCCTGATGCACCAAAGATTAATATCAAAGATCACATCTAATAAATCAAACTGGAAAAATTTCCAGCCAAGGATATAGCTTTAAAAAGGAAATGTTAAAAAAACGTTTGAATGTAAAGCAATCCCGTGATACTTCCACTATGTGGGGCTATACATACAGGTTCCATGATACAGTATTTCACATAAATGGATACTATATAACCTCCTTGCTGAGAAGGAGATCACACGTGCTATTGTAGCAAACCTCCCTCAGCATTTGAGCTGAACAAAAAACTACTAAACACCACAAAGATGCATCATCTTTCAATAGCCCAGCTGCGATTTCTCCACTAAAATGGCTGCGGCTAGCTGCTGGGCGTCTGTCACGTGAGGGTTCCTTTTCATGACAATTCTCACAAGGTCAGGTGGGAAGATGTTGCACAAGTTGATGTAAATCTTCTCTCGGTTGTCCGGGTACCTCGGGGGATCCTGTGGCAGCCCGCAGTACGGTATCCGCCAGGGGGGCTCCTGCTGCTCAGGGAGGCTCTGGAAGGTGAACTGCTCATAGCACGGCTGTGTGGAGCTGTCAGGCAAGGAGTAGGTCTGCCGATAGCCGTACGCGTCAATCCCGTACCCCTGCCTGTCCCAGCTCCCCAGCCCCTCCTGGCGGGAGTAAGGCTTTCTCTGTCTTGAAGGAGAACTGTCATACAGCCGAGAGTCAGAAATGCTGTCTAGTCTCGTGGCCACTAAGGACCGCCCCAGGTGTGGTGCCTTGTGTGCTGAACTTGGAGGAGAGGGGTACTCGCCAGGACAACTGGACCGGGCTCCCACAGCTGGATGCTGCAGGTGCATAGCCAGATGGGGAAGAGGAGGCTTGTGATGGTACTTTGGTTCTTCGTGACTGTAACTTTGCACTCTGGTTAAGGGGTCGTGGAAATTCTGCAGGAAGGGTTGGGAATTAAGGCGGCTGTGAGGGTACATATGCTGACACTTTAAATTCTCTTCGAGCTGTGGGTCGGGAGAACTGACGTAGGACCGGTCGTTGTAGCCCACGTACGAGTCACTGCTCCCACAGCTCATGCTCCCGTCACTGCTGCAGTCAGAGGCTACAGAGCTGATCCTATAATCTGTGTCCAAGGAAAAACGCCTTTCAGGACTTCGTGGGCCTGAGATACTCAGATTTGAATATGCATTCAACATGGAATAATACCCAATGTCAACAGGGGAGTCACATTTGGGGTACTGTTCGTAAGGCATTGGCGTTCCATGATTTTTGGTTGTCATCATTATTGGAGGATATTGTCCCTGTGGTCTTTGATCCTGAGGTGGGAAATGAACTCCAGATGGAAGGCCATTGCTTAAAGATGTAGTGCTTTGGGGTTTTGCAGTAGAAGTAGCCGGTATACTCACTAAGGAGGGTACAGACCTGGTTTCCAATTTATTTTTGGTGGGAAGCTTTTCCTCTAGGTCTGGGTAGGCCTGAGTCCTGATGCTGGGGTCCGACTGCCTCTTTGGGGCGCCTCGCTTGCCGTCAGCAGAGCTGTCAGCCTTGGTGCTGCAGGGGACGCTGTTGCTTTTCACCAGTCCTCCTTCGTTTGCAGTCTTGGCAGCCGTGTTTCTTGACATGGCACGAAGTTCATCGGCCACCGACCGCTGGGGCTGACTGCCCCTTTCCGGGTGATAATATTTGCACTTGTGCCCATAGGTGCACTTCTTTCCTGCAAAGAGGAAGATTAATTAGGGAAGGAGCACGCCCCAGGTCCCCAGCACTCAGCCCGGCACGACAACTCGGACTAATGAAAGAAACAAAGGCAGAAACTGAGGCACACCCAGTGCTCCTCACTTCTGAGAAATGCCACCTGCAGTCTCCCCTCTATTAACAGCACTAAGAAGCTGGCTGAATGACTAATAATCGCCTCCAGAGTTTTGGGTTAATACCCTGTGTCCTCAATTCAGACCTACCCATTCTCTTCCAGGATGACTTTATAATAAGGTAGGACATTCTGGAAAAAGCAAGTACTACTGTAATGTGATGAAGCCATTCTGATCTGATGTGTATCTAGATGTAAGAACTCCAAATTCTGATCTACCTGAAAACTTCATGTAGAATGAACTGAGTTTTGGGTGATGCATTGGCAATGAAGCCAATTAGGTAAAAATAATTACTTTTTCATGGTTAGAATGTTTTCTTAAGTTTAATTACAAACAAAAGAACTAACACTATGCCATCCAAAATTAAAAATGATTATTAAAAATTTAACATACTGTGCTCTAAAGGCAGATATTAAATACTCATAAAGCAAGTTACCATATGGGCAAGGCTGCTTCTTGTGTTCGGGAACAATAGGTTTCTTCCTCAGAAAATTGTCCAGGCTCGGACCGTGCCTGCCAAGAGGGTCATCAGGGGGCATGAACCTGTCACGAATAAAATACAAAATTATACTTAAGTAGGAAGTTGATCATTTAATTCTAAAGACAGTGCAAAGATTTATTACTCTAAGGTATTTTTTTCAATGTTAATCTAAATACTTTGATTCAACATTTACAGGATAAAAATATTAGTGTACTAAGTTCTCTTGATAATAACAAAATTAAAATGTTTCAGGCTAAACTCCTATTTGTTTTAATTCAAATAAGCTTTGAGTCAAACATGTTCTAATTATTTCTTCCTTCCTCTCAATCTTGGGAATTTGTAAGGATTTTAGAAAACAATCCCAAGGACATTTTAAGAGAGTTTTATAAACATCAATGCTGTGAAGCAGTAGAAACGGGTGGGGAGTGACGAGGGGGCTGCTGAGGAAGAGAAGGGAGATGACGGACGGAGGACGGCAGCTAACGACACCTTGCAAGTTGGAATCTGCACACGTCATCTCGTTTCATGCTAACAGGATCCCTGCAGCATTAGTGCTGCATTGCAGGTTAATACACTTTTCTAATTCAGGCTTAGGTAAATGAAGTTACTTTCATCTACGTTCACATGGTGCAGCCAAGATGTCTAACTCCATAGTCCATTCCCTTCCCACTCTCCTCAGGTGCTTCTCAGCTGATGTAGAAAATGTCTTAAGAAAATAAACAGCCAAAACCGGTTTGGCTCAGTGGATAGAGCGTCGGCTTGCGGACTGAAAGGTCCCAGGTTCGAATCCGGTCAAGGGCATGTACCTGGGTTGCGGGCACATCCCCAGTAGGAGATGTGCAGGAGGCAGCTGATCGATGTTTCTCTCTCATCGATGTTTCTAACTCTCTATCTCTCTCCCTTCCTCTCTGTAAAAAATCAATAAAATATATTAAAAAAAAGAAAATAAAAAAAAAGAAAATAAACATTATTTTGGATCGATTGTCCAATGGAAGCAAGAATTCATAGTGTGCATGATGAAAAGCAGTTATGACTGCAAAGTTCTGTTACTAGTTAAGTTACTGTTTGAACTTGAAAGAAACCAAGTATTTACCCATAAAATGTGAATAATTTATGAACTCTTAAGGGGGTGTCAACCTTAAGACACTTAGTGACACTTAGTAACACTTAGCAAATATTAATATAAGAACAATATGGCAACGTTAAAAGTTTAAAAATAGAAGACAGTCACTGAATCCTACAATCTTAATACAATTAATTTCACTTATGTGTTGCATTTTAGTCATTTTTCTGTATGCATACTCCATTTTACAAACACAAATTTTATGCTTTGTCTTTAACCTATGCTTCAATGTTTAATAGCTTTTCATCATCATAATTCAGGAAAGCAGTATTATGTGTAAGTAAATGGTTTTACTCACTTGTCATTGACAAATGAATACATTAATAATCGCTCATCTATGAACTTCTTCCACTCTGGTTTTTCATTAGCCAAATCCCTGTAGTTATCATTGGACACAATTATACCGTCGGACTCGAAAGCCAGCTTCACGATGAACCTGTCATCGTAGCACACCACCCGCCTGCCCTGGACTCGCCGGGACGGTGTAAACACC